GAAGTCCAGCTCTGTCCTGGGCTGTTCCCTGGACACAGTGCAGAAGGTGGGGGGCAGGAGGGTCCTGGAAAAAACTAACATCTATGCTGGATCATGACAGTCACCCCCTGCAGGACACTCTCTCTGCTCTTGAGCATTTTCATGGACGGACTAATTCACCCTTGCTGTGTGAAGAAGTTCCGTAGGTCTTTCCTTCCTGCTGCTGTCAGACTGTACAATGAGAAGTGCTGAGCCTGTGAATTTCATTCATCTGTAAACAAGTAAATACTTAAATCATGTGCAATACTGTAACTTCAGAATGTCACTAAACAATTGGAGAATGTCCTGTGGTCAGATGAAACCCGAGTAGAACTGTTTGGTATAAACACAACTCGTCGTGTTTGGAGGAAGAAGAATACTGAGTTGCATCCCAAGAACACCATACCTACTGTGAAGCATGGGGGTGGAAACGTCATGCTTTGGGGCTGTTTTTCTGCTAAGGGGACAGAACGACTGTTTGAATGAATGGGGCCATGTATCGTGAGATTTTGAGCCAAAACCTCTTCAATCAGTGAGAGCTTTGAAGATGAAACGTCGCTGGGTCTTCCAGCATGACAATGATCCCAAACACACCGCCCGGGCAACGAAGGAGTGGCTCCGTAACAGTGGCGGAGCCAGACTTTTAAACAGAGGGTGGCCAGGGGGTGGCAAGGTTTTTTTTAAGGGGTCCACATTCATACTATTCAGAAATTTTATTTCACACAAAAACTGGCTAAACGATACATTTTAATCTTAATCTTATTTTTATTCTTTATATAAAGTGAACTGAGAGCACACTTGGAAACTACAAAGAAAAAAAGCGTATTTAAACAGTAGTCTGAACAAAAAAAGTACAAAATGACATCATTCAAACATTGCATTTCACTTTTCTTTTAACAAATTTTGCAAATTCCTGCGGTTCTGGTGTAAAGCAGCAAAGATGTTGACAAACTCATCCATATTCAGCCCTGAGCCCTCCTTGACTCAATCATCTGTCATAGTTCTGAGATGGTTTTTAATAAGTTTTAGGGCAGAGAAACTTCTTTCACAAGACGCAGTACTGACAGGTATTAAAAAGATCTTTGCAAGCCTCAAAAGCTCATGAAACACTTTTCAAACGTTCCAAAAGGACAAGGAAGTCCATTAGGGACTCTCTAATCCATTTTTTTCTCCCAAGAATCCACCTAGTTTGACGTACCTCATACCTCGTCCTCTATATCTGACTGAAAGGTTCTGCCAAATAAAAACAGGGGCTCTTCTTTGAAAAATATTTTGGGGTCAAGCGACTGCACTCCATCCGTAATCTTAGCTTCTTTTGTTTTTATTTTTTTATTTGTGTGAAAAAACGCCTCTATAATTCTGCCAATAATCCTGCACCTGTCTGCGACTCCCTCTCATTCTCTGAAACTGAATAATGTAAGCTATATTTTAATTAGGGCTGTCAAAATTATCGCGTTAATTCACGTTAATTACCGTTTTCATTAACGCGTAAAAAAAAATTAACGCATTAACTGCCATTGACGTGTTAAGACGTCAATTGCGTCAATTGCGTTTCCTGCTATTTTCACGTTCCCAGATGTCTATTGTATCAAATATGTAAGGCTTGAGGCAATATTTTATCGAGCCAGCAGATGGCAGCATTGATCTATGAATGGTTTGAAAACAGCTAGAAGCTAATTAAAAGATAATAAAACTTACCTCTACTCGACTGGGGATTACAGGGGAACGAAACAAGCTAGAAACTAAATTATTTTTGCTGATGAAAGTAGACAGTCCATTCTTTCAGAATTTAGATAGTCATAGTACACAATATTCTGTGGGTCTTAAAAATTCAGTAAAAATCATCAGAAACAGCTGGCAGTTGGGAGTTCTGAAATAGGCTGGCAGTCAATCACATGTCCGAATGACCCGCCCATTTATAAAAATATCAATCAGAATGCCGTGGACACGTGCGTGTGTGTGATGGTGACAGCGGTAACGTGGTCATATAATACACGCATATATATATATATATACGCACAGGGGCCATTCTCTGATGTTGTGTGACACACGGAGGAGAGGAGGAGACACGCTGAAATGCAACCAAACTCGCAAAATTAAAGCTGGGGTACCTACATTTTCCCTTTCATTAACAGCTCTTGTTGATTGTACCCAAAAGTAGAAGGTTGTGAGCAAGTCAAACAGATTTAAGTACATTTGGTATGAATAACAATGTGTCATTACATTTGAAAATGTCATTTAACTTCAATTGGAGTGGATTTGAAATAGAATGTTAAAAATGCGATTAATCGTGAGTTAACTCACAATTACTATGCGATTAATCAACTAAAAAAAATTAATCGTTTGACAGCCCTAATTTTAATACAACACAACAAATTCCTCATCATGGACATTCTCAAAACATACTGCCTCCGAGTCTGACCTTCAGGTTTCATCATCCTGATCTACAGGCCTTTTCTTGACAAAAAAAGAGGCAATGTCTCCTGCTTTTCATTTAATGTTTACACTAAAGGGAAGAGGGCGATGATACGATGGGCAATTAATAATGGAGAATACACACGCATGCGCACACCCGCACACAAACGCAGGCACGCACACGTAGGCACGCAGACACACGCAGACACACACAGGCACACGTAGGCACGCAGACACACACTGGCACACACAGGCACGCAGACACACACGCACATAGGCGCGCATACAGGCACGCACACAGGCGCGCATACAGGCACGCACAGACACACACACACACTAAAAGTACTAAACCGAACAAGTAATGCGCTGCAGTACGTGTGTCTATACTTTGTGTCAAATGTAAACGGTTGGCTCTGCGTTGCTAACTTACCCCTTTGTTTTCATCACGACTTGGGCAAATGTGAGTCCAACAACCCAAAACATTAGCATACACCGACTCCACGGAGTCAGGGTGCGTTCAAAGACGGGGGAAACCGTGGGAATGTTTAGTTTTTGGCAGAAAAAGTGTGGAAGATTCTCAAGATTAACAATATTACATTGCCGTCTTCCGAGGGGGGCACTGGGGGTGGCAAGGGTATTTTTAGAGGTGGCAGTGGCCACCCTGGCTACCCCTCTGGCTCCGCCACTGCTCCGTAAGAAGCATTTGAAAGTCCTGGAATGGCCTAGCTAGTCTCCAGACCTCAACCCCATTGAAAATATGTGGAGGGAGTTGAAAGTCCGTGTTCACTGCTCTCGAGAAGATCTGCATGGAGGAATGGGCCAAAATACCAGCTACTGTGTGTGCAAACCTGGTAAAGACCTACAGTAATCGTTTGACCTCTGTTATTGCCAACAAAGGTTTTTTTTACAAAGTATTGAGTTGAATTTGTGTTATTGACCAAATACTTATTTTCCACCATAATTTACAAATAAATTCTTTAAAAAGAATTTTTACAGTTGAAGTGTACCTATGATGAAAATTACAGACCTCTGTCATTATTTTAAGTGGGAGAACTTGCACAATCGGTGGCTGACTAAATACTTTTTTGCCCCACTGTAAGCGAAAGTAAGCCATTTCTGGCGAAGTCCACTGGTCTCTCACTCACTCTCAATTTCTCCAAGTATCTTGCCTCACATATTACTCCAGTGTATCAATGTACTTAATGCGGTCAGCGTCGGCCGAATTTGTGGCTTTAGATGACATGGGGACAAATGACCCGTGACAAATTATCCATGACAAATGATCCGTGCAATATAAGCCAGACAAACATGGCGTTCGCGCAAAGCATTATGGGTAATAAGCACGTGATGGAAAACCATCTGTATAAGTAATTCATATTGGTCGATAACAATCTATTGACTGTTTTTTAGTTTTGTTTTTTAACCTAAATAGATACATTTGTCGTGTCGGCTAACACACGTTGGCAGCATTGTTTACAGTGACGGGGGAATGAGGCTCGCGGAATATGTTCACAAGCACAGTGTCCCCCATTGTTAGTCCTGGTTTAATCCTGGTTTAGTCCTGATTTAGCTCCTGTTTTGGCTGTTTTCGAGTGTCTTGTGTCCCCGTGACAGCTCCGTGCGGCTCTCTGATAATAACACGTGCTTCCACAGGAAAAAGTTCATCTTTTGCTTTCGCCAAATACATCGAGTCTCTGTACCCAGTGCCTCTACTGCGCCGCACATGCTATTCTTCGAACGGAAGTGCATAACTATTTACAAGACATTGAAAAACGATCAATAGATCCATGGACGCGGTTGTTGTCATGCTGCGAGCTTCTGACTCTGCTTTACTTCCTGTGTTTTCTTCCTGTTTTTTCTAACGGTGTGAAGTTGAACTATCAAACATTCTATCGACCCCATTTTTTATTGATATTGAACTAAGGTAAACAAGCGGCGGAGGCTAACCTGAAGCTTCCTTTGTCTTCGTTACCAGTTACTGCTTACACAGCAAAACAGCCATCCAAAAGAGTCTCATCCTCTCCACGCTTCCCGGTTCTATCATTCTATGGTCACGCCATCTACGTTCAAATGTGCGATCCATATTGTGAGACGTGAGCTCCGTATACATTTAGCACGTTAGCACAGGTTGAGGGGGAGGGGGGTAGTGGGGGGCGAAAGCTCCGTGCGGGGAGGGCGAGCAAAAAGAGCGAAAATTTCTCAGTCAGTTACTGCAGCTTTAAGGTTTTAGAAAATAATCTGATAACCCCCTTCACCCTCTTCCTGTTTACTGAGTTAACGCATCCCATTGGTTCGTTGGGAATGAACAAATCACATTGTTTTTTTGTTTTTTGTTTTTTATCGGTCCGCTCCAAAATATCTTTTCATAATTTTTGGAGACTATAGGCATCTGGTGAACTCCATTACTATTTGAAAACACATTATAACTTGACTGGTTAAGGGACGTTTTCCCACAATATTTTAAAACGTGTCTGGAAATAATCACTGACTGTATCTTTAAGAGAAACACTTGGGAGAGTGTGGCCTGGTAAATACTTTCCTGCCATTGTTTGTGTGTGTGTTGTTAGGTGGACAACGCTAAGGTGCTGCACTACGTGGGTGCAGGTGTGGCCTTTCCCACCAGCATGCTGTTTGTGAGCCTGCAGTCTGCACTGACATACCGCCTGGCCAAGACCCAGGGAGAGTACTACGTGGCCCATCTGCGCCTTGCTATGACACTGCTAGCCTTTGTGGGCCTGGTGCTCAGTATCCTCCAGACAATGCGTCACGTGTGTGTACTTTATGAATATTAGAAATTCTCGTTTGAATTCTCGCCTATCAGGCTTTGATTGTAATGAACTTATCACTCCTGTGAGAGAGTATTTTCATGAGTAATTTGACATAATTGTTATGACCAAACAGCCTTCAAAACAACAAACCACTTGATGTGTACATTTTCTCCACTTTCTCACTTCTTAACCCTTGTTATCACTCAACAGTGATTAGGCCCTAAATTAGGTTCTAAATGATTAGACCATAGTGTCTAAATGACCCAGGGCTGGTCAAGTTTAGAAAATTCATCCAAATTCAGCTTTAAAAAAAAAGGTCAATTTGACCCAAGGATAGATCAAGAGTTAAGGTTTAGCTGAAATCAAAACATTTCAAAACTAATTTACTTTGCTCTTGGTCAGAACACAAGATGATCCTCCAAGCTGTCCAATGAATCTGCCTGTCTGATTATTCAGTAACACCATGTAACTTTATGGGCCATAACATGAGAAGCTGATATAAGATGCATAATGATCTGCAACTTGTTTAGTTTAGTCTTTATTTATAAGTGACAGTGCACAGTGTCATTGAGCTTAAAGAAAGGGCTTTGAAAGAGTTATTAGATAATTTGAATGGTTGACTATTATTTCTAACAATCTCTAAAATATTCCAAAATTAGGCCTACTCTGAAAGTGGTCACCTAAGCTCATCAGACCATATTATTTATATATATTTTTCTAATAGATTTAAAGAAGCTATACCCATTTCCGCAAGGTTTGAATGTTTAGCACCACCCCCAACTCGCTCACAGGCTTCTCATTTCCCCTACCTAGCCGAGCTAGCCACGCTCAATAAACAAATACCAATCAATCAATCAACACCTTTAAATGTTAATCGGGGAATACATCATACATATACAACCTTAACACACGTGCACAGAGGTTTTCAGATTTTTTTGTTACGGTTTTCATGACAAAAATAAAGTTTTTTTTAAAAATTTAACAAAATTTAGGACACATTTGAAAAGGACCTGATTATGGAATTAGGTTCGGTATATAAATGGGTAACTCACAGCTGATGTTCAGAATTCTTTGTTCAGTTTTCATTTAGTTCCGGAGAGTTTTGAGCTAGCTAGCTTAGCTGTTACCTGCCTAGTACGTCACGGTTAATGACTGTGTATTTAATGACTGCAAAATGTATTTGCAGTCATTAAATACATTTTGAATATTAAGGACTGCCTAATATTTGTTCAAATATATATATTTTAAAATTTTCAAATTATATTCGAATTTTGAAGTCAAAGCCCTAGTGTTTACCAGCACTGTAGAGGCTAGAGGACGCAGGCTGTTGCTCCTCGTTCTGTGATTGGAGGAGAGCTAGCGTCACGCTAAGTCTCTACTCAGCAATTTTTACGGCCTGAATTCGCACACAAGCTGAATCAATCAGCTCAAGTTTTCAATTAAATTATGGATTATAATACAACTTGTATGTAGTAATAAGCATTTTTATGAACTCATTTGAAAATAAATCGGGTATAGCCTCTTTAAGTAACAGTTACAATATAAATATAAACGGTGGTTAAAATAATTTACCCTTACAATTTTCTTCCACTTTATCCAGGTTCTGAGGCCTATATTATTATAGACTGTTCTTCTATGCTTCAGAACCACTCATTTCTTACATTTGGTTGAAACGAGAAGTTATATGAATTATATTTGTGGTTCTTAACTCGGCACCAGGCGGAATCTTCTTCGTCCAGGAGAGCTTTGTCCTGCAGCACGCCTCAGCCATCTTTGAGTGGGTCTTCTGTGTCATCATCATGCTCTTCTACGGGACATTCGCCTTCGAGTTCGCTGGTATGTCGGGGGACACAATGGCAGTGTTTGCACGGGGTGGAGGCCTGGATTCCACCTCCAGAGACCGCAAGGTGGACGCCCTGGGACCTCCGCCCTTGCCGCACCAGCATGCACATGCGCACCCGCACCAGCCCGAGAGTTTATCCATCCTCTGAGCGCAATGCCTTTTGACTCACTTGCTTTTTGCACTTTGCACATGTTGGGAAAAACAATACCCCCCCTGCTTTGTGTTATCTCAAAGGGGAAAAAAAAGCAGAAATCGGAATTCTCTGGAGAAAATAAACAATAGCAGTGGCTGCTGGTCGGTCTGAGCTAACAACATAAACCAGTAAATAATGTGTGCAACCACGAAGCAGCGCGCTAATCCACACTATAGATTTATGACGTCTGTGCGTGACGCCCGTGGACACGGGGGGAGGCCCATGCTCCATTCACTGTACGAGAACGAGTGAGAGGTGCCAAAAGCTGTGGGTTTCAAAATGGGAAGTCCTGCAAAGAAGCTCTAAACTCTGATCTTTAGTCACCCTGCAAAAATAGACTGGAATAAGTTAATATGTGCACAAATGAAACCGTATTCATTTTGATCTGAATATATTTGTACTGATAACCCATTTCTCACTAAAATGAGGCAGTTTATCATTCAAGCCACCATTTTCATCTCCTTTATTAGTCATTTCTGGTTTTGGGCAGGTGGCAATCATCTTTAGTTAAGTTTATTTGGGACAATTTTCCGGAAGTCCAGTCTCTCCAGAGGGCCACTCTAGTTTTATTTAGGTTCTCTATTGTATTCTCAACAAACCACACAGGCGTTTTTCGCTTTTGCTGTTCTTCCATTTTTGCCGTAATCACAGAAAACCAGAGTTAGCTGCTAACCAGCTACATGCGCCAGCAAGTCAAAAGGGGATGTGTGATTGGTGCTGAGTACGATGATTGACAGTGAGGTAGTGAAGTACACCAATAATTGCCGTTACTTGTTACATTTTTAATTTTTACAAGCAACTCCCTCAAGAACTTTTAAAAACAAAATCTTATATACTCGCCCTTTGCCAAAACCTTGACAATATACTCAAATCATGATGCTTCTTTCAATCAGGTCTTTTGCAATTTAAATACCGTACTTTCTAACAGGCCGCATTTGAAATGTTGTTGGACTTTTGTTATGTAGTAGATAGACATCTGTTCTAACTGGTCACAGGTTAATAGCATAACAGTTAACTTCAGTCAGATACTCATTCACCAGTCTTTTTAAAAAATAAACGTCAATATAAAAAGTCCATAAACTCCGACAACTCGACCTCAATAAAAATACACATATTAGTCACATCACAATTTAAGATGGAGGGTTCGTAGCGACTTATAGTCCGGAAATTACGGTACTACAATTTCTTCAATCTCTCTTAATTTTTTCTTAACCCTTGCTATTCTCAGGTCAAATTGACCCACCACAGTGATTAAAATATACGCTAATGATCAGCCCCGGGTCATTTACACAATTTTAGACCATGCTTTAGGGTATTATTCTACTTTTAATCATTGTTTTGGGACATTTTGACCCAAGGGTAGCACAATGGTTAAAATTCATCTTCAACTAAATGCTATTTGAAATATATTGTGATATATTGTGAGATGAATAAACCTCTGCACCTTCTCCACCGACTCCCACTGATGACTGCTGTCGTTGTGTCCTTGGGCAAGACACTTAACCCCACTTTGCCCAAAGCCCCCACTGAAAGATCAAGGCTATGCTCACACTCAGAGAGCAGCCGTCCTCCTGTGGACTCACCACCTGCAGAGGGTCAGTGAGGGGCTGGTGCTATGAGACTTGGGTGGCATCTCTGACTGTCACCCCCCTGACCCAGAAATGGATTAAAGGGTAGAAAATGGATGGATGGATGGATGGATGAATAAACTATTTAACTATTGAGATGAATAGGACTATTTTCTGACCAATAATGTTGAGAACCACTGCTGTAAACAAGCATCCACACAGTATATTATGTATACGTTGCATTTACGTTGCTTTGTGTAACAATGTTTTATGTATTTTTTACGAGACGCACATCATGGAACAGTGTGCCGTCATAGGTGGCCAGAAATAGTCCAAATGTTGCTTCCTAAATGTTCAACATGCAAGTTATATTCTATAGTCCCTCTACGTCAGCAGTTGCTGTGCCATTGTATGGATATCTTCTTGTTCCACATATAAGCCTGTCACATATGGCCTTAAGGTATTCTGTTTGAGTAATTAAACTCAAAGTTAAAATCCAGAGACCAAATCAATATTGCCTTATGAGAGCGTCTTTAAGCTCTTTAGAAGTGTATTTTTTGTAATGGCTTCTAATCCTAAATGACAACTTTATCACAGTTTTATTTAAATGCTAGTTTATGCAAAGGTGAATTGCCACCTAGTGGCGGGAGAGGTGTTCAGTTTCTCAGTCTGTGTTTCAGTGTTCAATGTTACAACAGGAGTTCAGGCACTGTGTGAAACTTGGTGAGTTAGAAAGGGGCGGAAAACATGATCGGCCAATGGAATGACACATTTTAAATCTGAGGTGCTTAACTTTCAAGCCATAAAGAACGGAAATAAGTAATGCATATGTAACTAATAAAATCCAGAAACATAGTTCCTCACTCAAAACACTTTGCGTCTATCACTATTTTTTGTAACTTTTTTTTTTTTTAAGTCAAATTTTGGATTTTTTAAAGAACACCAGAATAAACTTAAAGCCATGCCACTCGAGTATTTGTATTCCATGTCGTTCTGTAGTAATTATATTTTATAGTCAAAACCTCTTCTCTGCAGATACGGTTTAAAACACATTTAGTTCATGACCAAATTCTTTCAACTATTTCACTAATCAATTAGTTGCTATTAATGGAGAAACTTTTTACAGCCATAGATCATTTTCTTTCTATTAGATGAAGACTGCATGTTGTTCTTGCTGATTGTTCACATTTACTTAGACTTTCAAGTGCAATTTGTTGTTTTTGTTAATCAAAATGTATTTCATCTGAATCCAAACCAAAAAAAGAACAAAATCTTGCTCCACAGGGAGATCATTTCCAAATCTAATCTGCTCAAATCACAAACAAGCACTAATTTGAACTTGCATGCTGTTGTTTTTAGCGGTGTACAATTCAATACAATTTACCTGGTGCTGTGTGTTATTCCAGAAAATGGCCTTTATTTGTCCTTCTTTCATCCTCTGTCTACATAATATTTCCCTCATTTATCCAGGGATGTATATTTAAAGAAGTCTCAATGATGGTTTTCTAGTAAACACTTTTCACTTTGGTAAGTCTTAAGTACATAATAGAACTGCACACAGAAATGGAAAATGTCTGTTTTTGCTGCGAGTCCACTTGCTCACTGCCACATTGGCTTTACAAGCCGTTTAAAACGTGGTTTGCACTCAGTAAAAGTGATCCAACACCAGCCAGAGTCCACCCAAAGTAGACCCCCGTTTTCCTGAAAGGACCGATTGTGTATTTTGTGTTTCTTGAATAGCTACTGCCACTCTGTCCTTGTAGCTTTAATATAATAGATTACTTTTTGTTATTGTTGATTTTGCAAAGCTACTTTGTAAACATTCCAGGAGAGAGATGCAGTGAGAGTGATGCTTCTGCTCACGTAATCATAGTTAATATAGTTATATATTAATATATATATATGAAGTTACCTTATTCTTTGCAGTCATTAATGGATGGCTTGAGACTTAACCTCTGAATTCTCCTTGTGCCTTATTTTTTATGAAGACCAAAGACACGGTAGCTTTTAAAATCAATAATGAACATGATTGTACTGTATGTGTGTATGCCTTAATCTTCAATAAAAAAAGATTTAAAATCAAATTGTTTCTAGTCTTTTCCAAATGTTTGTATTTTTTGCCTCTGTCACACCTTTTGATCAGCTTTTCCAGACAGAAAATTAAAAAAATAAGATCAAGTTGTAGTCTGACTTGTTCACAACAATGTTACTGTTGCCCCCTCAAAATGATCATTGACTCCAAAGGGTTTGTTTTATCTATTATTTAGGTCTCAAAAGAAAAAATAATAAGAAAAGGACAAGAGTCGCACACAAGGTCCTGCATACAGCCTGGCGGGCAAACGCCTCTATACTGCACACCTGTTTCTGATTAGCCCCAGAGGGATATATTTAAAGCAGAAATCACGTGAGCTTAAAGAGCGACTAAACACCTGTGCCCAGCCTTACTCCGCCCACATAAAGATTTGAAAATGTACTCTAAAAAGGGCGTTGCCTGGAGGACTAAGGGACAAGAAGGGGGGCTTAGAGTTGGGCGTGGTCTGGGCTGTGATTGACAGCTCACTTGTCACACACAAAAAAAACAGACAGTTGTCATTGCTGCTTAAAGCAATAGTTTACAGACCAGAAAGTCTCATTCCACCCTTGTTTACACACTAAGATAATTGTAAAGCTACACACCTGAACCTAATCACACTCAATAATCTCAGAATGACTCATGTAATTTAATTTGAATCCACTAGATGGCGCCAGAATACTCAACTGCAGCTGGGGCGTGTGTGAGAGTTGAATGGGTTCACATCACTGGCTCTGACAGACTGACGTCACACAAAACAACTGATGTCATAGAGAACTTCAGAGTCAATGGAGAGGCCAGAACCAAATTCAAATGTAGTACCACCAAAAAGGTGGAGAGGGCACCACACAGCGTTTTTTGGCTCAAAAGTGATATTTTATCTAATTTGAACTAAAATGTCAAAAAATGACCAGGATATGTAGACAGCACTACAATAAACATACTTATGCAGTTTATGAGTTAAAAAAAGTTGATTTGGTGTTAAGTCGCTCTTTAAGGGGTAGGTCATATAATGGAGCTTTCGCGAAAGTTCACTGTGGTAGACCCGGCTGCTGCTGCCCAGGCCACAGGCTGCTCTTCCTCGACTCATCAATACCAGCAACGCCCACATCCAGTCAACCAATAACCACCAGGACAGCAAGTTAAAAGCCGGAGACGCCCACTTCCCGGCCTTCTGAATTCTGCAAGCACCTGCTGTGTCTCCGCCGCTCTCCTCCTCTGCGGGCTCTTTCTGCGGGCTGCTCCGCGGGGCCCCTCCGCGGGCTCTATGATGCTCGCCTCCTCGTGGTCTGCTGCTGCGTGCAGACGGTCTGGCG